CCGCGATTGATTGGTTAAAATGAACATCTCTTACTTTTCTGTGGGTGCTCGGTTCAGATATAAACACCAGTGTCTACGGTAGTGATCGAAATAGAGTAAATCACCTTTTTAAAGTAACTTGGCACTTTAAAGAAAGATCGTATCAATTACATAATTACACCAGTAGGTGGCGACAAGTGACTTTTTTTGTCACTTGAACCCTCATTCATCCAGTAATGAAACAAGTGAAGTCTTTATGAGTGAGTCATTGAATCATTCATTCTAATCGAAAATATAAAATTATTTTAAAATGTTATTATTTATGCAAAATAGAACTTCTCTTCTTTTTTTATCATTTTAATTTTGGGATTCTCCATGAAGAAAATTAGCCTGGGTTTCCCCATACTGCCTTTGAAAAGGCGCGGTTTTAATTCACGCTGCTAGGCAGTCTGGATACCAAGGACCAAATTTTCACCAATCACAGAACGGCGAGGGAGCAGCAAGACGATGACGACGTCTATGCGACACACCGAAGCAGTTTGTTTATACCTATGGATCCAACATGGCAGCAGACGCGAAGTTACCTCTCGATGCAGCCTTAGATATTGTTCTACGTAGTTTAGAACGCAAATAAATCTCTGACCCATCGTCTTCTTCATCGTCTAATTTCTGTCGCTCTACATACGTCATCTGGTATAATTGAAACGATTGGCTATGAGCTACGTACAGGCGCATTTGATAGACATTCATAGCACCCAATAAACGGCTCTGGGAGTTCGTAAACCACGCCTCAAATACGAGAAAATGAACATGTGGTTCCCAGACCACGTCTCAATGTCTTCCACAGTAAATTCCAAGATGTCCGAATGTTTGAAGTCCAGCTCTGAAGATCATTGTCTGCTCCTGGAGAGCTCTCTGAACGCTCAGCTCTCACAAGTCTTGTTATGGGAGTGAGGTGAGGCCACGGTGCTGTAAAACAGATATGTCTTTCTTCATCCAAATCAACACTTTATCAGGCTGCATTGCAAGGAAACACAAAACAGGGTTTGTTCTTTTAAAGCGATAGTTCACCCAAAAATGTTAATTCTGTCATCTTTAACTCACCCTCCTGCTATTCGGTCTCTTCAGAAGACTTGGATTAAACAATTCATATGGATAACTTTTACTGTGCATTTTTGTACGTTTTGAAGCATGAAACTTTTGGTTGTATGCACTTAATTTGTGTTTTGAAGATGTCTTATGGGTTTGGAATGACATGAGGGAGGGTAAAACATCTGTGCATTCAAAAGGTTAAGAATGACATCTCGGACCTTGCAGAGGTCATGCAGGTCAGAAGCTGCTTTCCTCAAGCTGACTTCTACAGACAATTTCAACACAATTCATTTCAACACAAACCCAATCAAGTTTTCTTCACAATCTCAATTATACTTCTTTAAGTATCAACAACCTCAGATGTTTCTCCTAAAAGCCTTAGAAGATAAAAACAGGCACACAGCCAAATGGTTACAGGCTTCCGTACTTCGTCCGCCGTACAAACCAACGGTTTGATTCTCTCAAGTTTGTATTCGATTCATCCTCGATATCAAGAACACATCCGGGTACTTCATGCTTCCTCTGTACTTGCGCTCTTGAGTATTGGAATTGAACTTCGACGGTTGATGACGACGTAATACGAGAACACAAGGACGCAAGATCGAGCACATATTGAGAAACAGGCATTATCTCAACCACATTACAATGTTAAAGTCACCATGAAATCAAAATTGACCGTTCTTTTTTGATGTAATATTGCAGTATTATAAATAATTTATCGTTATTTTTATATTATTTTAATTCATGTGCCTCGTGATTTTTAATCAAAGCAAACCACGACCATCCAATCAATTCCCCATGGACAAAATCAAGTCCCGCCCCAAAAATGTTTTTGTTCCAGAAGCCGTTTCACTCGAATATACAGTACGTCCCTATACGGGAGAAAAGACTAATTGCTTTAATTACTGTCTAGGTAAAACAATCGTGATTCTCTTTTTCTATGGATCTACACTATATGTACAAAAAATGAGGGGGTCAGCACTATTTAAAAAACAATGCGAGACACAAGAGCGCCGTCCTTTGCAGAGAGCCAAAGGCTCAGTTAAATCTTGTATTGACATGAGACAATGCATTAAAGCCACACTTTTACACAGCTCCCATTGTGGTAGGTTGTATAGGCTTTTCTAAATCCACGGGCGTGAAACAAAAGAGATGGGCTGTGCCTCTTGCCACTGGTTAAACTGGCATGTGGTGGTGGTCAGACAACAGTCTTGACCACTCAGAACACAGCAACACATCAGGACGGAAGATTTGACCTCCAAGTACAGATTGGTCACAGCAATAACCCAACACTGCATTGTATCTCATGCTGTTGTTTTCAGCGCCCGTCACGAGTGGTGCCTTTTCTAGAGCGTGTCAACCAAAAATAAAACTCTACAAAGAGCATCTAAAGTGTGTAACGATTACTTCTTGATGGCTTTGACGTCGTGCCGTACAACTTGATGCATCGCAGTCTTCCCAACTAACAAATATACATTCTAAGAACATTTTGCTAACGTTCACATTAGGTTATGAAAATGTTGTTTCTGAAGTCCAGTTTTTTACATGTTTTAAAAAAGTTTTTTGGCTATGCGAACGTTAAAGGAACATTCCATTTTAGAATTTTGCAAACATTATGGGAATGTTCTTTTTGAATGTTCTTTGAACATTCCAACTAAAAATTTTCAGGAAAAAACCCCCCACTTCATGAACAATGAATAAATAACGTTTTAGTGCTAACGCTTTGAGAACATTTTTAAAGACATGATCACTCTGACCGAACACTCTATTAAAGGGATACTCCACTTTTTTTTGGAAATAGGCTCATTTTACAACTCCCCCAGAGTTAAACTGTTGAGTTTTACCGTTTTTGAATCCATTCAGCCGATCTCCGGTTCTGGCGGTACCACTTTTAGCATAGCTTAGCATACATCATTGAAGTGGACAAGACCATTAGCATTTCTAAAAAAAAAATGACCAAAGAGTTTCGATATTTTCATAGCTGCCAACTCTCACGCATTGGCCGTGAGACACCCGCATTTGATTGGTTTCACACGCTCACACGCCACACTCCCGATTTCTCATGCTGAAGTGTCAACCCGGGCGGTCAAATGCCTGGAAGATGAGTTTATCTATATATCTACCTGTTGAGCCACTCGTGATCGACTAGTTATACCGCAAATTCGTTAAAAATCTCCCGTTATCTAGAGCAAGCGTGCATGCGAGACAGAGATTGTGCTCCAAACCGCGTAGAGCGAGAGAGAGACCTTGCGCGAGCGAGACCGACCCCCCCCCCCCGTCAACAAATCTCACTCGTCTCTACCACACCCCCCCCCCCCCCCCCCCCCGTCAATAAATCTCACTCGTCTCTAACCCCCCCCCCCCCCCCCCCCCGTCAACAAATCTCACGCCGAGCAAAACTCAAAAGTTGGCAGGTATGTATTTTTCCTATTTAAAACTTGACTCTTCTGTAGTTACATCGTGCACTAAGACCGACGGAAAATGTAAAGTTGCGATTCTCTAGGCTGATATGGCTAGGAACTATACTCTCATTCCTGCGTAATAATCAAGAAACTTTACTGCCGTACCATGAGAGCAGCAGGCGTAATAATATGACGCAGCGCCTGAAAATAGTTCCGTTGTGTTGACGGAAGGTGGCCTATTTTCAGGCGCTGCGTCATATCATTACGCCTGCTGCTCTCATGGTACGGCAGTAAAGTTTCTTGATTATTACGCAGGAATGAGAGTATAGTTCCTAGCCATATCAGCCTAGAAAATCGCAACTTTACATTTTCCGTCGGTCTTAGTGCACGATGTAACTAAAGAAGAGTCAAGATTTAAATAGGAAAAATATCGAAACTCTTTGGTCATTTTTTTTTTAGAAATGCTAATGGTCTTGTCCACTTCAATGATGTATGCTAAGCTATGCTAAAAGTGGTACCGCCAGAACCGGAGATCGGCTGAATGGATTCAAAAACGGTAAAACTCAACAGTTTAACTCTGGGGGAGTTGTAAAATGAGCCTATTTCCAAAAAAAAGTGGAGTATCCCTTTAATGTTACTGGAAGAACGTTTGTTCACAACTTTGAGCAAACCTTTTCAAAACATTCTACTAATGTTCCCTGTTAGCTGGGTTATCACTGTGAAATGGCCTTTAGAGCTACTATACGTTTCAAAGACTTCAGTTTAAGTCCTACTTTATGCCTCAGGCATGTTCTTCAAAAAAATTTCAATAAATCTAAAGTTTTTTTAAGTACTTAATGCATCTTTATATTCAGCCGCAGAGAGATACATGAAAGCATCCAGAGTCACGCAGCACTTCTCTACAGGAGTTCATGTAGAACAACGTCAGTAAGAAAACTTTGTTCGGAAACTATTTGAGAAGTGATTTACAGAGAGGATTTCCACTTTTTAAGCATAGATGCACAAAACACACCACCAGCCCAACAGATTAACATTACAAGACCTAATCTGTGTTTGGCCTTCACTTACCTTCTGTTCCTGGACAATTATGGATTATCTCTTATCCCACAACTACCGGTCAGATGTCTGGCCTTCGATATATTTCTTATTCGCAGGTCAAATACTGAAATGAAGGGAAAGCGAAACGGCTGAAGCCCCAGACAGCCCGGTTTGAGCACGGCAGTCTGTTTGTTCCCTGGCATTGTGATCGGAGCTGTTTGTCCAATAAAAAAGGCAAACAATGACATTCCGTAGCTTGCAACTGTATTCAGGGCTCAACTTCACAAAAGTACAGCGGGGCTCTGAGATATCTCACCTCCAACAAAACAGCTGTCGCACTGAGGTTTGCAGAGATATGTAGATCAACATTACTATATCTACCACACACACACACACACACACACACACACACACACACACACACACACACACACAACACTCGTTCGAGAACTGAAGGATGTCTGGTACTGATGTGGTCTTGATTCTTACCTACACTTGTCTGCTCCACCGTCAGCCCTGTGAGAAAACCAACAGTGTTAGTCAGTTTAAGAAGCTTGTAAAGGCTGGAATACACAACACAACATTTGACCAGTTTTGTCCAACATTGCAGTCCACTAGTTGCTGAAAGTCAGAGTCAGTCTGCATACTTGTTGACAGACTTCCCAGAAAATCGCATGATGCATGATGTTCAAAAGACTCAGGGTGTATTCACACCAGGAAAGTCCGATAGTTCACTTGCTTTGGTCCGGACCAAATAAAGGGTGTATTCACACCTGCCTTGTTTGGTTCAATTGAATCATACTCTAGTTCGTTTCCCTCTTTGGTGCGGACCTTTTGGGCAGGTGTGAATACAGCAATCGAACTCGGGTGCGGACCAAACAACCGAACCCAGACCCAGCTGAAGAGGTGGTCTCGGTACGGTTCCAAACGAACTCTGGTACGGTTCGTTTACGGTGTGAACATGAACCGACCCAATTGCAAGAAAGCACTGCGCCTTTGAGTTAACAGGCTTCCGTAGTCGGAGTTGCGTTATGGGAAAGTGATCTGTTGTAGCCTAACGTTACTACATTACATCTATCGGCGTCTTTCTGTGCGTCGTGTGTGCATCATTGGAATGGAATGAATGAATGTGTGTGTGCATCAGGACATTCACATACAGAGCGTTCTCTTTAGTCTAATCGCGCATAGATGCAAAAAAAAAAAAGCATTTGCAGTTCATATAATGTAACGATAGTTACAATACAAGGATGATGCTGCGTTAATTTACGTTAAGCCTTTTTTGCACTTCCTGATTTCCCTACTTGAGAATCCTTGTCCAATGAATGGACGACCTTAGCACACGTGTGGTTTTGTTTACAAATTTTGGTTCACTTGCAAAAAGAGCAGTGTGAAAGCGAACCGTAAAAAAAAAAAAAAAAAAAGATTATTTGGTCCGGACCAAAGCAATCGGACTTTCCTGGTGTGAATCAGTGTTAATTTCGTTAACGAACACTATGACGAAAAATGTTCGTTGACGACCTTTTTTCCCCAGACTAAGACTAGACGATGAGAGACGACACCCACGTAATTAAACGATAACTGTGACTATATCAACACATGCAATATCGTTGACGAAAAAAGACGAGACTGATGGGTTAAAACAAAAAAAAAACTTTACCAAAACCACTTGTTTTTGTCGAATAAAGGAGAAGACAACACATTACAGACTGTGTTTGCGAACGTTCATGCTTACGGTTGCCATATTTCAATAATTTAAATCCTCAGTCAGAGCTTTTCTGTTAAAATAACATGTTTTCTACCCGGTCTTTTCAATAGTAGGCTAGCCTATCTGGCAACCATGTGCGCGCGCTCTCTCTACATGCTGAAGAGGCGCGGATGATCTATAAAAACAGAGTTCAGCGATCTTCATTTGAGATTTTTTACTTAAATTAAAGTGTCATTCAGTCTTTTTTCTGTCACTAGCCGCTTGCGCTGTTTGTGCGACTAAATCTGCGGTCAAAATGCAGGATATCCAGCAGGGTTTTTAATGTTGATCATTATACGAGCAAGAATGCCATGTTTCCCGAATATACACACGATTTCAAATGTGACATTGATTTTATACAATAGTTCAACAAACAAAAGGGTAACATTAAGTGATGTGCAGTACATTTAAAACTGTATTGTCAGTAGGCTATTATTGCTCTATTTTGCAACAAAAGCCACAGCAGAACTACAGTGGTGATTCGTGAACGAATCTGTGGCTTTGAACGAATCGTGAGATTCAATGATCCGTTCATAAGTACAGCAACTTGCTTCGTTACTGAATGAATGAATGGCTCGATGACTCACTCATAAACTATAGACAGACTTACCGCCACCTACTGGCCATTGTAATTTAATATTTAACCCTTAGAATCTCTTTGGGGTCATTTTGACCCCACTGGACTTTTTCTTTGATTTTTTAAAAATGTTCCCTTCATCTCAGGGCCATGAAACTCTGTGACTTTTCCTACATAATCTATCTAAATATGCACAAAAAAACTGGGTTCGATTCGGTTGTTCTAAAGGTGTGTAAATTTTTTTTTACCATTTAAGGTCTTTGGGGTCAAAATGACCCCAATTGAAAATGAATGGGAAAATGAAAAAAAATGACTTTTTTTATTTTGTTTGTCAAAAAAATAAAAGTAAATCCATTATAAATCTGAAATGTTCTACATATAAACCAAGGTCTGGTCCTAGAGCATAACTAGAAAGTAGAACAAACTTTCTATCTCATACACACACACAGACACACACACACAAACACACACATGTCATGACTGCAACAGAGAGCATTTTTACAGAAATTGGCAAATAAAATAAACAAAACTGACATAAATCTTAAAAAAAATACATTTAAATCAAGGCCTGGTCCTAGAGCATAAACACAAAGTGGAACGAGCTTTCTATCTCACACACACACACACAAACACACACATGTATGCATATGTATGTATCCTGTTCATTACAGTTTATTGGTGCTGTTGTTTTGTATTATATTTGTTTATTTACTTGGTTTATTTAATTTATTTTGTTCTAAAATCTCTTGTTCTAAAAAAATTAATAATTGTTGATAAATAATTTTCTGAAATAAATAGTGTGTGATTACAGTCATGTCATAGTGCTGGCTTGTAATGTTTATCCAAATGTATATATAATAATTTGCAAAAACAAATAATTCAAAATATATCAGACAACAACAACAAACTCTAACTTTGACATATATATTTTGTGAATTGCATAAACTATTTTTATCATATATATCAAGTATATCAAACCGTTTAGACCGGTTTAGACAAATGAGTGAAAATGAATGAGTCTCTATGGACCTCTATTGGGCAGATGTGGTCATTGCACTTTAATTTCTTAACTATAAGAAAAACAGTTTTTCGACTAACCACCAGATGGTAGTATTTTATCCCTAACACATAGAGCCATGTCCAAAAACTATTTAGATTTAATTATCATCATCATTAAAGTGATTTTTTCTTTAAAAAATCATTTTTCATGTGCCAATTTATGGCCTAGTTATGTAATTGTGCAGTAAATATGTAAAAAACCTAAAAATTTCCAAAAAAACACAGCATTATTGTATAGTTGAGGAGTGAATAAAAAAAATTATATATAGTTTTCCATATAAAACATGTATATTTCCGTATGCAATCACTCTTTAAAAGTTTGGGGTCAATATGACCCCAAAGACATTTTGTGTTAAACGTATAACTTCGTTTTTACCATCATTGCATATTTATTGAACATTGTTTTATTTAAAGCATTATTTGTTTTATAAAGGTATTTACAAAGGTAAAAAATGAACTTAAAAATCGATTAAAGAGGGCAAATATTGTCCCTTAATGGAAAAGGTGTGACAGCAGTCTTGGAAGAGGGGTTACGGCCCTCTAAAAAACAAATTGAAGAACCACTGAACTAAGGAAAAGGGATATGTAGAATTGCACAAGTGCTAATGCTAGAGTGCAATGTCAATACAGCCTGTTACCTTGATTCAGATTTCTCATAAGCTTAATGAACTGGCCTAGAGAGAAAAATTGTTATGACATTTTTTGTCTAAAAACTACATATAAAATAGCTATGTAAAATAGCTAATACATATAAAATTAATGTCGGTAACTGAAATTTGACTAAAAGTAATGACAAAGTTGACAAAAAATGCAATGACTTTTCGTCAACTAAAACTAGACTAAAACTATGAAAGACAAAATGACTAAAATGTGACTAAGACCAATAAGCATTTTCGTCTGAAGATGAAAACTAAGACTAAATCAAAAATGGCTGCCAAAATTAACACTGGTGTGAATACACCCAAAATTATTATTTATTTTTTTGGTACGGTTCGCTTTCACACTGCTCTTTTTGCAAGTGAACCAAAATTTGTAAACAAAACCACACGTGTGCTAAGGTCGTCCATTCATTGGACAAGGATTCTCAAGTAGGGAAATCAGGAAGAGCAAAAAAGGTTCAGCATGGAGATATTTCGTACTGCAATATTTGTTATTTTACTAATTTTGTGTTATTCTGTACAAACGCAATATGAAGAAACTAATGAGTATCATATGATAGAATGTCATCTATACGATGTTGTAATTCGGATTTTGAGAAGACGACGATGTGCTGCAAGACGGTTCCGGCGGAGTATCACTTTCCCATAACGCAACTCCGACTACGGAAGCCTGTTAACTCAAAGGCGCAGTGCTTTCTTGCAGTTGGGTCGGTTCATGTTCACACCGTAAACGAACCGTACCAGAGTTCGTTTGGAACCGTACCGAGACCACCTCTTCAGCTGGGTCTCGGTTCGGTTGTTTGGTCCGCACCCGAGTTCGATTGCTGTATTCACACCTGCCCAAAAGGTCCGCACCAAAGAGGGAAACGAACTAGAGTATGATTCAATTGAACCAAACAAGGCAGGTGTGAATACACCCTCACAGACCCGCAGATTTTCAAGTATGTTTGATATATTTTGAGCTGATTTTAGATTTTTTGTTTTGTTTTATTTGTCATACAACTCCTGAGGCACGTTTATGTGCGAGTTTGTTGTGTTCAGAACTTCTTGAAAGTCTGTTAGTCACAGTATATGATGTCCAGTTTTTCTCTGCAAACGTTTACAAAGTCGGCAAGTGTACGATGACTGTTCAGGTTTTAAAAGTGTCCCCAAAAAGTAATTCAAATTATTTAGTAATTATCAAAACAAGTGTTTTTTGGGTTTTTTTAAGGCAATTATTATTATTAACAATAAGGTTTGATTTGTTACCATTAGATAACGCATTAGGAATCATGAACTAAAAATGAATGAAAACTTTGCTTTTATTATCATCAGATCAAGCTTGGCTGTTAAATCCATTTGAATGCCTTTCATGCTTGTTAAAGCCGCTGGAAAGCATTATGTAACGATTCCTCTTTGTCCCTGAGCTCTTGGGAGTTCTGATTGGCTGAGTGCCTCTGCACAAATCAATTCATTTATTAAAACTGCCCTTAATTATTGATGTTTCTGACATGCAGAGACACAGGACACGCAGTGCACGTACCTGTCCTCACGGATGGAGGGAGTCAGGAATCGGCTGGAGTCGTCGTCATGGCTACTCTGCTGGCTGCTCTGCTGGCTACTCTGCTGACTGCTGGGAAAGAGTCATATTGATAAGTGTCAATCAACCTGTTGTGACAACATGAAACGTGTAACTAAACCGTTCTAAATTCTGCATTTGAAAGATATCTCTTGTGTTTACCAAGGCTGCATTTATGTGACAAACAAATACAATACAAATTGAGAAATATTATTACAATTTGAAATAATGGTTTTCCTGTTTAATATATTTTTAAAATTTAATTTATTCCTATGTTGATAAAGATAAATTTTCAGCATCATTACTCCAGTCTTCAGTGTCACATGATCCTTCAGTAAAAAATAAATAAAAATACTAATATGCTGATTTGCTGCTTAATATTTTTGTGGAAACCATGATAATTTTTTTTTAGTATTCTTTGATGAATAGAAAGTTTAAAAGAACAGCATTTAGCATATAACATTATAAATGTCTTGACTGTCACTTGCTGAATAATAATGCAAAATCTTTCTGACCCCAAACTTTAAATACTTTACAACAGCAAAAAAAAAAAAAAAATGTGTTCATGGATAAACTTTCAAATAAAATTAATAATAATTTGGAATATGCGCTATGAAATGTCTTTAAAATGTAAGTTGACTTGTTTTTTTGAGTAATGGTCTGTTGCATCATGCATGTGAATAATGTATCCGTATGATTTCACCACAAGAGGGTGCAGTCAGTCACACACTCCATTCACAGCACACAATCTCAGAAATAAATGAACAGTTTCATGTGGAGTTTAACAAGTGCTGACACATGAAAAACACTAGCAGTGCTTCACAGACTTTATTATGCCTGGTTACGGCTTCTGAAACTACTTAAATGCTAGAGTAAGGGCCATTTCATTTCAATTTCAAGCTATTTAGATTAAATATGTCCAGTCAATATTTGTAATAAATATTCATCCTCATTATCTGTGCTTTACTCATTCGCTAGTCATTATTTGCCAATATATTAATATTATTCCCTCTCCTTTGATTTGAAATAAAACAGACCACTTTACATTACTCATTTGCATTGAATGTAATTAAACCAGAATCATTTCACATGTTTTTTTGCGCATCAATTCCAGCGCGAGTCCTTTGGAAGTGCATGCAAAGTGGATTTGCAAAACAGCGTCCTCTTAATATGTCGACAACACCAACCGAATACTTTAGTCTCAGCTACAGCTAGTGTTTGAGGGTCAAAATAGACATTGTTCACGGACAGCCGATGAAGACCATAGGCTGGCATTATGCAAATTTGTTACAAACCTATATGGGTTCATTCTGGTTCATTCTCAATTGTATTCTGGTTCTGTTGTGGATCCGCGTTCAGTGCCGCCGCTGACGTAAGACGCTGCTGACGTGTGTCTGGTGTGTGTGTGTGTTTTCTGGTTCTGTTGTGGATCCGCGTTCAGTGCCGCCGCTGACGTAAGACGCTGCTGACGTGTGTCTGGTGTGTGTGTGTGTGTGTGTGTGTTCTGGTTCTGTTGTGGATCCGCGTTCAGTGCCGCTGCTGACGTAAGACGCTGCTGACGTGTGTCTGGTGTGTGTGTGAGTGTGTGTGTGTGTGTTCTGGTTCTGTTGTGGATCCGCGTTCAGTGCCGCCACTGACGTAAGACGCTGCTGACGTGTGTCTGGTGTGTGTGTGTGTGTATTCTGGTTCTGTTGTGGATCCGCGTTCAGTGCCGCCGCTGACGTAAGACGCTGCTGACGTGTCTCTGGTGTGTGTGTGTGTGTGTTCTGGTTCTGTTGTGGATCCGCGTTCAGTGCCGCTGCTGACGTGTGTCTGGTGTGTGTGTGTGTGTGTGTGTGTTCTGGTTCTGTTGTGGATCCGCGTTCAGTGCCGCCGCTGACGTAAGACGCTGCTGACGTGTCTCTAGTGTGTGTGTGTGTGTGTGTGTTCTGGTTCTGTTGTGGATCCGCGTTCAGTGCCGCTGCTGACGTAAGACGCTGCTGACGTGTGTCTGGTGTGTGTGTGTGTGTGTCTGGTGCGCCCGTGCTTCGTTTACAGTCTGAGGGAGACGCACGCTGGAAACAAAACAATCTTCACAAACATGTCTAAGGATTTCCACACAGAGGAAGACTTGCATTTTTTTGCCCAGCCATATTTATTTGAACCCGAATACACACACACACCAGACACACGTCAGAAGCGGCACTGAACGCGGATCCACAACAGAACCAGAATACACACACACACACACACACCAGACACACGTCAGCAGCGTCTCTGAACGCGGATCCACAACAGAACCCGAACACAATACAATGCTGAATAAAGTCGTAGTTTTTGTTATTTTTGGACCAAAATGTATTTTCGATGCTTCAACACACTCTAACTAACCCACTGATGTCACATGGACTACTTTGATGATGTCTTTATTTCCTTTCTGGACAAGGACAGTATACCCATACATACATTTTCAATGGAGGGACAGAAAGCTCTCGGACTAAATCTAAAATATCTTAAACTGTGTTCCGAAGATGAACGGAGGTCTTACGGGCTTGGGACGACATGAAGGTGAGTCATAAATGACCTTTTTTGGGTGAACTAACCCTTTAAGGAGACACTAACTCCATTTATCTGCACTTTAATTTTTGAAACTTTGCAGACATTTTACATTCACAAACATATTACTCACTCAATGAAAGGTAAATAGCTGGGGGAAAAAAAAACTTTAATTTTAACTTGGATAAATTCCCGTTGGGCATGCTGGATCTCCTCATGCATCAGCTCCGGGGATTTGTTGCTGTGCGCTACGCTCAGGTGCGTGCAGGTATTTGCCTGCGATGACTACGGGCTACGCACACCGGCAGGAAAGCTCATATCTGCAATTCAAACTATGCAGGCAAATCTCTCATTTATGGTCAGTTGTTCTGACAGCATTTGACCCGTGTCAGCTCCTCTAGTTTGCTTAACACACTGCAGATTGAGCCGGAGTGTGAGTTTATGCACACATGCCTGAGGGTCCAGACTTTCCTCAGAATGGGTCCTTACGTATAACTTCCCTGCTAACTAGAGAGGATTGAAGCTCGACATGGCCTAGAACACTCCTGAATCATTCATGACAGTTGCCTGTCTGACTCTTTGTGTGTGTTTTAACTGCTGCTGAAACAAAACCCCAGTGCTTTCAGGCCAACGGCCCAGGCTGACGTCAGACTAGGAACACGCTGCTCGCTGTTCAACTGCTGGCCCACGAGACAAATTCAGCCAGCTTTGAAGTAGTCTGATGATGAATATGTCATTTTTATACATATAAACTTGCAAAAAAATATATTAATCCTGTACACTTGAAGAGGCACTATGTCAATGAAAAGCTCTTGAAATAAGTGGTCATCGCTAAAATCCAGGTGTTAAAACCAAGGGTCCAAAATGTTTGCGATTGGATTGGATTTGCCAGTCAGAAACACAAGTGAACAAACTATATTTGGCATTCGTAGTGTAAACACCAATCGGTCCATTTGTGTCCTGGGAAAGATCATAGCTTCGCCAACTCGCCTGTCAATGCGTTTCATTTAAAGCTTTGCCGGAGCTTTAAATGAAAATATATACATTTTGGAGAAGAGCATATAAAAAAGCACATAACCCAGACTCACTAACCCTTACTCAGTAATGATGATGAATGAATATTACTGCAAATGAAAGTGAAAAAGCCAAGACAGTGAATTTTTCTGTGATAAAAGAACAATGCAAGACTTTCCAAAGTGAGTCTCCTATCACCTAAAAATATGTAGAAACACACTCGCACAATCACATGACCAACCGTAGGGTTTTAGATTCATAAAAAAAAAAAAAATGTAATTCATTTATAGATATAAAGGAGTTATATAAATACGTATAATTACTAACTATTTTGATGTCAATAATGCTTTTTTGTTCAGCAAGGATGCATTACATTGATCAAAAGTGACAGTAAAGATATTTATAATGTTATAGAAGATTTCTATGTCTAATGAATGCTGTTCTTTTTAACTTTCTATTCATCAAAGAATCCTGAATTGATTTCAACATTGTTAAGAAATATTTCTTGAGCAGCAAGTCATCATATTAGAATGATTTCTGAAGGATCATGTGACAATGAAGACTGGAGTAATGATGCTAAAAATTCAGCTTTGACATCAAGGGAATAAATTACATTTGAAAATATTACAAAAGAAAACTTTTTTATACTATGCGAGCACATGATTTCTTTCAAAAATATTTAAAAAACGTATCAATCCCAAACTTTCAAAATAAATAAGACTCCAAACTCCATCATCCAGATCATCCATGACCGGTAAACAAGTAGACCAAGCAGTTTAGGACTTAAGACTTTAAGCTTGCATTATGAGAACAATTTTACACCTACTGTGCTCCTCTACAGCTGAGAAAAAATAACTCTTAAATCTGAAATATTAACAACATGGACAGAGTCTCTCAGCTGGAAGGTACACACTTACAAGTTCCCCATATCTTAAAATAGCAGCAGAAGCTCTTATCAGAGCAAGGCAGACTGGGAACGGTCTGGATACATCTCAGCAGAAGGAGAAACCCTACGAGACGAGACATCGCATACACAAGCCCAGATAAGAGACCTTCCTGAACCCAGACTCTCAGATAGAATATCTACACCGAATGAGGAAAGCAAGTGAGATACGCGAAGGAACACCTTTACTACTGCACCCATATTGGCTGTGAACTGAGCATGGATTCTCTCTCAGAGACCGTAAATAATAAATGTATTGCAGAGTACTAAACATCAAGCCTCAGTCACTAACAAACAAAATCTCATGACACTTCAAAAACCCAAAATACAGCTTTGGTTCCCACCTTTCTGCTGGATGGATTGAATAATTGCGCTCTTGTTTGGGATCAGGACAGCTTCCGAGTGTCTTTACTGCCGACACTTCACAGAGGAAAGTGTCAGAATACACGGAAAACTGTTTAACTATTAATCCGCCTTCTGTGTTCAACATTAAGCTCCATAACAAATTCAGGACATTCTGTTTTTGAAAAGCGAAAGAATCGTGACACATGAGACTTCTGAT